GACGGTGCAACTTGCCCAGCTTTGGAGCCCAGCGCTTTGGCCAGCTTCTTGCGAAGGCCGTCTGAGTTGGCTAGAGTGATCGATTTTCTGCAAGCCACAGTACAACCCAGGTCATTTTCAATCACTTTAGCCAAGGCCTCTGCTCCCGCCGTCAACTCCCTCACGACAACTTCGGGGTCATCATCTGTGATGCCCACTTGGAAGTCGTCTATAAACAAGGAGAGCGGCAGACGCCGGTGCTTGGACTGCCACGCGTCCAGCGGCTCTAACGTGTACACCTGCACTAAATACGTGTCAAAAGGGTCCCCGGCAGCGAGCCCTTGGCCCGGATGCCCCGCAGGAACAGTCGCGCCCTCGTAAGACACGAAACGAGGGGCTTGATGCTGATTGAGCACGACAGCTAATATGGATAGCGGGAAGTGCGTTTTATCCGCGCGCTCCCAAAGGACTGGCCGCTGCACATGCTCGTAATAGTCAGACATATCCCACTGGAGAGCTGCTGAGTGTGCTGGGCGCCCCTCCGCTGTGGCCGCCTCTGGCACTAGCGCTTGCTGGAACACTAATTCCGTGATGCTGCGGCCCTTCTGGTGGCACAGATAGGGTCTGGGGTGTGCTGTCTCCCAGGCCTTCGCGAGGGGCAGCCTGCATTTTGCCCAGACCCTGTAAAAAGCTGGTAAGAGGCCTATGCTTCGGAAGGCGGGTACTCCCGGTTGCTTTGCAGCAGCCTTCTGAAGAAGGGTCGCAACTACTGCTAAGATGGCCGTGGGGAACCTGCCGTGGCGGTCCACCGAGTGCAAAAGTAGCGCAACCACTTTGAGTTGCTCCAACGAGAGAAAGCAAAAATGCCTAGGGTGGAAGCCGTCGTACGTTTGCGCCGTGTCCCTAGAGAATGACATTGACGCTTCACGTATGGCCTCCGGCCTCAACGGGGGCAGATTTTCCTCCCGCGGTGGCTTAAAAGGAGGTCTCGAATTCGGCGTGGTGCGCCATAGCTGGGCCAACCTGGCAGCTTCTGCATGCAAAAAACAAGATGGCCGCCCTGACCACTCTTCGTGCCATTTTACTTGGGCAGGCGTCCACATGGGTTGATGCTTGGACCATCTGTGGGCCCAGCCAACTGACTTATTATTCGCCCTGGTGACCCAGTCGCGCCACGCTTTGGTGCGATCTTGGGTCTCCAGTGCCAATTCGTTCGCAAGCTGGTCTGAAATTGCTTTTGCCGGCCCCTCGAGAAGCTCTGTGGCCTGCCTTACTGGCAAGCTGACTGTTTTGCCGTCTGGTGATATCTGTCGGCATGCCGCCTCAATGTCCTGTAGTACTAGGCGGGTCTCTTCAGATGGGCTTGGCACCTCTGCAGGAGCCTCCTGTGCTCGAGCCGCCGCCTCCTCTATCGGGGCCCCATTGGCTACGCACCGGGTGAAATCTTGCAAATTGTTCGCAATGGCCCTGAGGGTAGCCGCTTTGGACACCCAAGCCTCGTGCCCTTTCCCATTCGTCTTGAAATCGGCTGCAGATCGCCAGTCGATGGTCGGGCCTAGGCCGCGCGGCCGCTCGCTTCTTAAAGGCGTCCCCGTTATCCGCGAGATTTCAGAAGCAAGCTCTTTGGCGAAAGCCGTGTAAAAGATGTCAAGCAAGTGTTGCTTGACATCGTCGTTCAACGATGAACGCATCTGGGACAAAAGTTGTTCCGCTGCCTCCCGGAGGTGGTTCCAGCTGGCAGGGCCCAGCTGCGGGCCTATCATTGCCTCCGCTGGGAACCGGGTCGGGCGCCTAAGCACTGGGACCAACACTTCCCTATCTAGTAAGATAGACAGGCTGACTGGGCGATGCGGCGAAGATTTGAAAGAGGTTAGCGAGGCCACCTCCTTCACTAGCGGGTGAAACGCGACTGATATAAGGAAATAATCGATCTTGGAAGCAGTCTTTTTGGTATAATGAGTGTCTTTTGCGGGGGCGATCAAATTGAAGCGCCCTCTCTCATCAAAGTCGGTTTTTAAAATAAACGAAGGGTCCATGTTCAGATCTCCCCCCGCTATGATTGGCAGACCTGTCTCATGCTGGAGAATGCCCAGGTGGGCAAGCAAGCTTCGATTAGCCTCGCTGAGCTTCTCCACTGGGCGCAGATAGATAGAGACAAGTAAGATAGGCTCGAAGCCAGGCGTCTCGTATCTGACGGCTGCCAGTCGCCAGGGTTCTGCACAGGTCGCGATGCCTTTCGGGAGCGGGGAAATCCCCACATCTTTGCCCGAGCGCACCAGGATTGCAACCCCCCCCGCTGCCCTGTTTTCTGCTGAGCGGGTGGCCGGACTAAAAACTGGAAGCCAGCCCCTGCTGCGGTAGTGCTCTACAGCCAAGTGTATGTCATGCGGATCGTCCAAGAGAGTCTCTTGGAGAAACAAAACTGCGAATGAGGCCAAGGAGCCGTCATCCAGCCGGTCTCGCATGGTGGGCCAAGAATTCCCGTTGAAGGTGGCCATCAAACTGGGCCGCACCTTGCCCGGGATTAAAACACGTCTGGCCGGCTTGCACCAGGAACTGCGCCGCTCAGCCGGCTGTTACCCCGGCGACCGGGGTGGCCCTGCCGCCGCAGCCGCCTCCGCTGCGCCGCTGGCGCCAGCGCCCGCCGGCGCGTCCGCCCTTGGTGCGGCGGCCGTTTGGCTACTGTCGCCTGCGCCTGCCTGCGCCGCTTCCTTCTTGGTCTCGGGGCGTGTTTGCCCAGAGACGTGTTCATCCTCTTGCTCCGCTAGCCCCACTGTCGCCAACTGATTGGCGAGCTGCTCCGAGGTCTGGTTGATCGCCAAGACTTTCTCCCGGAAGGGCGCTGCCCCCAGGTTCGGCGCAGGCTCCAACTCTACCTCTGGTGTGTGTCCAAGCGGTGCGAGGAGGGTCTTCCGCACCTTATCCATGAGCTCATTCTCGGGGAGTTCGATATCTTCGGGGCGCGCTTTGCAGTGTGCGAGCAGCTGCGACCCAGTCGGGTCTGGCGGACCGCTCTCGGGCTTCATCGATGCCTCGATGAGTTGAAGCTGCGCCTTTTTGCCCTGGAGGTTGCTGATCTTTACGTTGATCTCGTCCCCCAGGCGCTCGTAGTCGTCGCAGGTCTTATCAATGAGGTCCTCTAGCTGCCTGAGGTCGCCCTTCTTGCGCTGAATGACATCCGTCTCGTCCTTGATGGACTGTTTCAGGCGGTCTGCCTGCGACGCCAATGGGAGCGCGAGGAACGATTTCTTCCGGAGGTCCTCTAGCTCTTGTGTCGCCTGGAGCAGCTTGGGGTGGTCTGGCTGGACTTTGCTCTTCCAGAAGTCTACTTCGCCTTGGCCAGGTCAATTGGTGACAAGTTGTGCTTCTGGGGCAACTTCAAAGGACCGGTAAAACCATCTTGGCCCTTGTCCTTCCCTTTTCCTTTGCCCTTCAACTTGCCCTTGCCTTTTCCCTTGCCCGCACCTTTGGGTTCGTGGTTGCCCTGGCCTTGCTGGTAGGCGGGCGGTGGCTCTGGCCAGGTGTGTCCGCCGTAGTGCTCGGGCGCACCCAGCAAGGGCATAGGCAATCCAGGGTACCCGCTCTGGCCCTGCGCATGCTGCGGGTAATACGGCACTGGCCAAATGCCGCCATAGTGTGCTGCGGGCACGGCCATGGGCGGTGTCGTCAGGGGTGGCGGCGGCGGCGGCGGCGGCGGGGCCTCCATGGCCACCTCCAGCGGCCTCTCTGCCTTCGTCCTGGGGTGCGCTGCTCGCTGCTGCTCTGGCCCACGGTCGTCCCTCGCAAGCGCGCGCTTGCCGCACATGGACCCGCGGCTGCATGAGCGAGGCTGCGAGTCCTTGAGCAGCCCCGTGCAGCCCGGCTGAGGGCAAGGGCGGGCCCTCTCTCCCGCGCACGTCGGTGCCCGAGTGGGGTGGGGCTCGCCCTTGAAGAAGCTGTTTCCGCCGCTGTAGGCCATGATGACTGGGTCAAAGACTGGCCACTTACTGCGGGGCGAGCTTGGTGGCTGGAGACGTCGCTTGATCCCAGATGCTGCGGTGACGTCTGCCCGCAACTCAAGGGGGGTCTCAACGTTGGCTCAACGCCGAAACCTCTACTGCAGCCTAAGCTGGCTAGTGGGCCCCCATACTATGGGGGCTGGAAGGCGGCCTCTAGAGGCTTCCTGGCCGGTTGGTCAGGGATCCCTGGACACCTCTTTGGGTTTCCTGGCTCTATAAATCGAGCCATTGAATCTCGACTAGGAAGCGCGATTACCCCGCGCTCCCAGACAGGCGGTACGGACAGCGCCCAACCAGAACTTAAATGCGATTATCTCAACTCCGAGCTCAAGCAACCGCAACCTCAACAGCAAGCGGTTGCATTTGAGACGGGATTTATTCCTCACCTCACGCTCGCACTCCAGTGCCGGGTCAGAGGAAAGACACGCTCAGGGAGCTCAGGAGAGTGTTCTCCTAAGCAGTGGCGGGAAATCGCCCGCGCACCGACTCCGTGACATTTGTGTTGTCGTGCATGGCTGCATGGCGTTAGACACGGCCTAGCAAGGCCTTGCCCCGGAGCCCGGAAACGGGCAGGAAGCGCAATTATCTTTACACCCCGTGCTTCGACTCGGGACCGCCAGCGGTCCGCGATAGCCAGTTCCCCCGTTTTTGGGGGATGCCAGCCCGTCGGCTTTCGATGGGCTCTGACCTACAAGCAACCGCAACCTCAACAGCAAGCGGTTGCATTTGAGACGGGATTTATTCCTCACCTCACGCTCGCACTCCAGTGCCGGGTCAGAAGAACGACACGCTCAGGGAGCTCAGGAGAGTGTTCTCCTAAGCAGTGGCGGGAAATCGCCCGCGCACCGACTCCGTGACATTTGTGTTGTCGTGCATGGCGGGCAAACGGGAACAACATAATATTGACATCCCCATTTTCGGTGTACCGGCCTATCCGTGGTTTTAGGCTCTGCTATGCCCGATCGTGCTTCACATACTCGCGCACTGACTCGAGAGCTGCAACAGCGGCAGGCGGATATAGCGATGTGCATGACGATGGCTGCGCGCGCGGCAGCTGGCAGGCTGATCCAGTCGAATCAGCGGGTCGGGGGCTACTGTGAACTTGCTACGCAGTGGTCCTTAGTCCCCGACCCTTTAGGCAATGTGCGTGAGGTGGCAGCATACTGAATGGGAAGCTGATCCGGGCGAATCAGCGGGCCAGGGGCTACCGCGAACTTGCTGTGCAGTGGTCCGTAGTCCCCGACCCGTAGGCTAAGCAGCGGCAAGCAGTGAGCATGGTACACAGACTGGCCACCTGCGTGGTGGTTGCTGCAGTGAGCTGCTCAACTACGTGTGACCTGGTCGCTCCTGTCGAAACGACCGGCTGTGTTACATGCGAACTTCGTGAGTCCGTAGCTCTTTGCCTCCATAACCCAAACTCTGATCCCGATCATCGGAAGAAAAATCTGGATCCCCGGGCCCAGCCTCGAGCCATGGCAGGCTCCTTTCGTGCATTCGCTGGCCGAATTAAGCCTTTGTCGCCCCGACCCCCACTCCCTGGCCCTCGTGGTCGGGGTGCTCGTCGGACCCCAGCAGGGATCCTTAAAGGCTGCCCCGTGCGTCCCCAACCACATCGAGAACCAAGAAGTCTGGGGGGTCATTGGCACGGGGAGGAGGAGGGAGGAGGAGGAGGAGGAGGAGGAGGAGGAGGAGGAGGAGGAGGAGGAGGAGGAGGAGGAGGAGGAGGAGGAGGAGGAGGAGGATCGAGGAGGAAGGAGTAATGAGGCAGATGAGGAGCAGGAGGTGGCGGAGGAGGAGGAGGAGGAGGCTGAGGAGGAGGAGGAGGAGGAGAGGAATGATGATGAGGAGGAGGGGGACAAGAGGAGGAGGAGAAGAGGACGAGGAAAAGAGGAGAGGAAAAGAGGAGGAGGACAAGAGGAGGAGGAAAAGAGGATGATGATGATGATGACGATGATGACGATGATGATGATGATGATGATGATGATGATGATGATGATGATGATGATGACGATGATGATGATGATGACGATGACGATGATGATGATGATGATGATGATGATGACGATGACGATGACGATGACGATGACGATGGACGATGACGATGACGATGACGACGACGATAACGATGACGATGACGATGATGACGATGACGATTGACGATGACGATGACGAGGACGATGACGATGACCGATGACGGATGAAGAATACAGAATCTTCGACGAAGACGAATGACGATGACGATGCACCGTATGACGATTGACTTCCAGCAAACTGAGAGACGATGATGATGATGAATGATGATGAGATGAACGACGACGACGAACGACGACGACGTTTGTGCTGAAAGAAGGATGAGGATGAGGATGAGGACGAAGGATGCGGCGAGTATGAGATGAGGATGCTGTTTATCGACGTCGCGATGATGATGATGATGATAGGTGAATATGATGATGATGATGATGATGATGTAATTATGATGAATAATGAAGAGTGATAATGATGATGAGGATGAGATGAGATATGATGATGATGATGAAACGATGATGATGATGATGATGGATGATGATGGGATGGGATGGTGATGGGGATGATGATGGTGATGAGATGTGATGAGATGTGATGGTGATGGTGATGGTGAAGGAGGAGGCGGCGATGAGAACGAAGAAGTACAGATGCTGGGGTAACAGGATGCCCGCCATGATGAGGATGAGGATGAAGGAATGAGGATAGAGATGAAGAGGATGAGGATCAGATGAGGATGAGGATGAAAGATGATGATGATGATGATGATGATGATGTTATGATGATGATGATGTGAGATGATGATGAGTATGATGATGATAGATGATGATGATGATGATGATGAGATGGATATGATGTGATGATGATGATTGAAAGAAGATGATGATGATGATGATGATGATGATGATGATGGTGGTGGTGGTGGTGGTGGTGGTGGTGGTGGTAGTGGTGGTGGTGATGGTGACGACAACGACAACGACGACGACGACGACGACAACGGCGAGTATGACCACGATGATGGTGTTAATGATGGTGTTGATGGTAATGATGATGAGGACGACGATGGTGATGATGGTGATAATGATGAGCTGGATGAGCTTGATGGCATTGACAGTTATAAGGAGGAGGAGGGTAAAGATGATGATGAGGGTCAAGATGAGGATGCCGATGATGAGCATGATGATACTAATGGTAATACGGCTTATGATGGGTGATGGCGACGATGATGGTGGTGATGTTGGTGGTAATGAGGTTGATTCTGAGTATGATGGTGCCTGTCGGCGATGACGACGGCTATACGGTGGTGGTGGTGAGTTGGTGGAGGAGGAGGAGGAGGGAGGAGGAGGAGGAGGACCCCCTCTCCATCCCCTTCTCCCTCCCTACCTCCCTATCGCGCTATCTCTCTTTCTCCCCCTCCCCTTTCTCATTCATCCCCTCCCCCACGTACCTCACTCCTCTCACGGGGCCCCCTTCATGCCGCGAAATGCGGCCGCGGTCTTTCGGGCGCCGCCCAGCCAGGCACGGCCACTTGACGCCCGTGTGGAACTACACCTCCCTGGGGCAGCCGTACCCCGCCCAGGCGTCCGAGGAGGGCCGTCGCCGCTCTCGTCCTCGTCGGCCTCGTTATCCCGTGCTCCTCCTCCTCCTCCTCCTCTCACCTCCTCCTCCTACTCCTCCTCCTCCCTTCCTCCTCCTCGCCTCCTCCTCCTCCTCCCCTCTCCTCCTCCTCCTCCTCTTCCCTCCTCCCTCCTCCTCCTCCTCTCCTCCTCCTCCTCTCCTCCTCCTCCCTCTTCCTCCTCCTCCTCCTCCTCCTCCTCCTCCTCCACAACCTCCTCCTCCTCCTCCCTCCTCCTCCTCCCTCCTCCTCCTCCTCCTCCTTCCTCTCTCCTCCTCCTCCTCTCCTCCTCCTCCTACCTCCTCCTCCTCCGTCCTCCTCCTCGTCGGCCTCGACGGTCCTCGGCGTCGTCGGCCTTGGCTTTCTCGTCGAAGTCGTCGTTGCCGTTGCCCCGTCGTCGAGGAGAGAAATAGGGAGGCGGTTGGGGGAGGGACGAGGAGGAGGGGAGAAGGAGAGGGGAGGAGGGGGAGGAGCAGCGGGAGGAGGATGAGGGAAGGAGGAGGAGGAGGAGTTGGAGGAGGAGGGCCAGAGTGAACACACGAAGTACAGCCGTGATGCACTCCTCCTCCTCCTCCTCTTCCTCTCATTTTTCCCCTCCTCCTCTTTCCCCTCCTCCTCCTCCTCTCCTCCTCTCATCCTCCTCTCTCCTCCTCCGCCTCCTCCTCCACTCCTCCTCCTCCCATCCTCCTCCCTCCCTCCTCATCCTCCTCCTCCTCCGCCTCCTCCTCCTCCTCCTCCTCCTCCTCCTCCTCCTCCTCATCCTCCTCCTCCTTCTCCTCCTCCTCCTCCTCCTCCTCCTCCTCCTCCTCCTCCATCTCCTCCTCCTCATCCTCCTCCTCATCCTCATCCTCCTCCTCCTTCTCCTCCTCGGCCTCGCCCAAGTCCCTACTCTGAAGCTCTTACAGGCTTCCATATTCCTTTCAAGCAGATCCCCCCCTTGCAAGAGAAGCACCCCGTCGGTCTGCCTTTCAGGCGAGGGCCCTGCTTCGAAGAGGAAGTGCCTTGCATCTTCCCAAGGCGTAGCCATGGAAGCAAGAAAGGTATGATCCTACAGTTCGACGAGCTGTCCAGCGATCTGCCCGCGCTGAAAAGAGGCGCGCCCCCCACTGACGAATGTCTTGCCAGGTTTACATGTCTGGTCTTCTGAAATTCTAGAGAATCGCAAGCGAGAGCCTCACCTTGAAAAGGAGCCGTCATCTAGTCGTGTCGTTGTTGCAAAACTATTGCGAAGGCCTTACGGCCGGTGCCGCCGACCTTTAAGGGGGACGACGACGACCACCACCACGACGACGACGACGAAGACGACGACGACGACGATGACAATGGCGGCGGCGGCGGCGACGATGCTGACGTGGGCCAGAGTCCTCGGGGGTGCTTCTTGGCGTCTGTTCGGAAGACTCTCGGGGGCCTTCGGGGAGGAATGTTGGGGCCACTTGGGAGCATCTTGGGGGCCTCTTAAGAGCCGTTCGGGGGCCTTTTCGGGCTTCCTGGGGACCTCCTGTGGGCTTCCGGGGAACCTCTCGGGGCCGAGGGCTCCAAATGTCCGTTCGGGTCCCCCGTCTGGGAACGCTCTTAGAGTCTTGGGGCCGTCTTGGAAGCGGTTTGGGCTGTCGTGGGGCCCTCTTAGGCTGCTTTAGGGCCCTCTTGGAGGCCTACTGAGCCTTCTTGGGGCGATCTTGGGGGCCTCTTGGGCCGTCTTGGAGCGGCGGGAACTGGAAAAGGCGAGAACGCCCAAATCAATGAAAAACAATGAAGTTTCTAGGGGCCCTCTCGGGAGTGCTCTTGGAGGCCTTTTGGGGCGTCTTGGATACCTCCTGGGCAGTCTGGAGGGCGTGAAGGCGTTTGGGACCGATCGTTTGGCGATTGGGGGCCCTCTTGGACCGTCTTGGGGGCTTCTTGGGGCACTCTTGGCATGTCTTGGTACTTTCTTCTGAGGCCCCGGGACCCGCAGGGGGGATGCGTATCTGACCCCTCCCCGGGACCTCCCCCCCGACCGCCTCCCCCCGACGGGGGAGGGATCTAATGGAATGGGCCTCCCTGCGACTCGATTACGACAATGCTAGATTTGTCTCTCGCTGACAGGCTCGAGGAGGAGGGTGCAGGGAAAGAGGACGACGGAGACGACGACTGACAGAGACGACGACTCGAACAGACAAGCCGCTCTCACACACACACACACACACACACACACACCGATAGGGTCGGCGGATTTAAGGCGAACGTGCGCAGCGCCAAGGCCAGAGGCCCGTTTCGAAACGGCACCGCCGTCCACCCTCGTAAGTCAGAGTTGTCACAAGGGTTTGGGACGTTTGTGCGCAGCGTTATCACGACAGCGCCATGTTGAAACGATATGCGTTCCATCTTGAAGGTTGATGCTCGTAGTGGATGAGGAAGTCTCCGGCGAAGTGCCCAGCTTGCCTTACTGACACGTGAGGGCGTGCGACGGGGGGAGTTAGAAGGACAAGAGATGGAGCAAGCGGAGGAGGGGGAGGAGGAGAGGGGAAGGAGGCGAGAGGAGAAGGAGGATGCTGATGAGAAGGAGAAGGAGGAGGACGAGGCGGAGAGGATTGTGTGTTTTTTGTTTTCTGCTGTGTTCTTATCTATCCAGTTGCCTGCGGCAAGTCCCGCCATCGTGCCAGCCTGCATTCTGGGTGTCGACTGTTCGAGAGGTCACGGGAGACCTTCAAGTGTGACATGTTGTGTCTCCAGGTTTAGGGAAGCCGCGATGAGGATGATGACGATGAGGAGGAAGAGGAGAAGGAGCAGGAGGAGGAAGAGGAGGAAGACCATCACATGTGACACCATTCGGTTTCACTCATTGACGAGCACTAGTGGAGCTCATTTGGACCGTCTTGGGGCTGCCTTGGCCTCCTGTCAGGCAGTCTTGGGGGTCCCTTGGGGCTGCCTTGAGTCGTCTTGGGGTCCTTTTAGGCAGTCTTGGGCTCTCTTGGGCCGTCGTGGGGCTCTCTTGGATGTACGGGGGTTTCTGGGGGCCGTCGTGGGGCCGTCGATGGGCCGTCTAAGGCCGTCTTGGGTCCCTCCAGAGGCCCTCTTGGGCCGTATTGGATGCGTCGTGGGCCATCGTTGGGTCCTCTTGTGCCATCTTGAGGCCTTATTGGTCTTTTGGGCCGTCTTGGAGCCATCTTGGAGGTTTCTTGGGCCGTCTTGGGCTGGCGGAAGCCCGAAGAGGCGGCAATGCGAAAGTCATGCACGAACCTTACGAAAATCAATGACATTGGTTGCTGCGACCTTGTTGGAGAACCTCGTGTGACCCTCTTGGGCCTTCTTGGAGGCATCTTGTGCCGTCTTGAGACCATATTGGGCCGCCTTGGGGCCATCTTGGGCCGTCTTAGAGGCATATTGGGCCATCTTGGCGACTTTGGTTGCCGTCCTGGTCCGTCTTTGATGCTCTGGGCGCGGATCCATCGTTGTTCCCAACCATTATGTGGTGTTGGGTCTTCGTTTTGAAAAAGACAGTGCCCCGCATTATCTTCTTCTCCTTCTCGTCATCCTCCTCACCCTGCTCCCTCCTCCCATCATCAAAATCAACAGCATCATCAGCATCAGCATCATCAGCATCATCAACCGTTTCGCACACCCAGTACAGCGCTTCGCCGCCCCATAGGGACCCCCACCGAAGGTCCCAGTGGGGCCGCCGCATGCGTCCCGCACACCCAGTACAGCGCTTCGTGGCCCCATATGGAGCCCCATCGAAGGTCCCAGTGGGACCGCCCGCATGCGTCCCGCACACCCAGGACAGCGCTTCGTGGCCCCATATGGATCCCCACCGAAGGTCCCAGCGGGACCGCCCGCATGCGTCCCGCACACCCAGGACAGCGCTTCGTGGCCCGATAGGGAGCCCCACCGAAGGTCCCAGTGGGACCGCCCGCATGCGTCCTGCACACCCAGTACAGCGCTTCGTGGCCCCATATGGATCCCCACCGAAGGTCCCAGCGGGACCGCCCGCATGCGTCCCGCACACCCAGTACAGCGCTTCGTGGACCCATAGGGACCCCCACCGAAGGTCCCAGTGGGGCCGCCCGCATGCGTCCCGCACACCCAGGACAGCGCTTCGTGGCCCCATAGGGAGCCCCACCGAAGGTCCCAGTGGGACCGCCCGCATGCGTCCCGCACACCCAGGACAGCGCTTCGTGGCCCCATATGGAGCCCCACCGAAGGTCCCAGTGGGACCGCCCGCATGCGTTCGGCACACCCAGTACAGCGCTTCGTAGCCCAATGGGGGGGCTCCACCGAAGCCCCCAGTGGGACCGCCCGCATGCGTCCCGCACACACACACACACACACACACACACACACACACACACACACACACACACACACACACACACACACACACGCACGCACGCACGCACGCACGCACGCACGTACGCACGCACGCACGCACGCACGCACGCACGCACGCACGCACGCACGCACACACACACACACACACACACACACACACACACACACTTTGGCATGTTCACCCACCCAGTACCGCGTCTCGTGGCGCCATAGGGAGCTCCACCGACGGCCCCAGTGCTACCGCCCGCATGCGTTCCCCCCCACCCAGTGCAGCGCTTCGTGGCCCGATAGGGAGCTTCACCAAAGAAGAGATTCACAATGGCGGTACCCACAACTGCATATGGTTGGGTCTTTCGCCAGGATAATAATACGAGGGATCGTGGCCCCGTGAGCACAGATCCATTGTCTTGCTTGATGGAAATCGTGGCCTCGGGAGTAGGAGGATGCGCGCAGCAGTCTGTGACTAGAGGGGGCGTCCTCATTAGAATACATAAACCCTACCGTACAGAATTTGACATTCTACCACGCGTCAATGTGCCAGGGGAGCCCGATAAGGAGCGGTTCTGAGATGGCTCCCCAAGAGGAGGCCCTCGAGTCCCGCGCGAGAGACCTGCGTATTTATTTTGGAAGCCGAGTTCGACTTCAAAACCGCGCGCAGTCCTCTCCTGCTCCTGCTCCCCGAGAGAATGCCCTTGAGTTCCGCTTGAGAGATTTTGGAAGAAGCCGAGTTCGACCTCCAAAAACGCGTTGTGGAATTGCCTTCTGCTCCCCAGACATGCGAGTTCTTGATTTGTCAACACGCGGTCCCTGAAGTCCCGAACTTTTCTCAAGGGCCAGCGTTTCATCCCGATCCGCTTCTTGACGTACCCTGGGCCCAGCAAGGGATCCTGCAACCCGAAATGGCCAAAATCTTCCGTCGTGGTTCCGTTTACGACACGAGCTGGGTTCGACCTCCAAAAAGCGCAGTTGCATGATGCCCCATGAAGCCCCTTCGGCTCTTACCCGGAATGTCGAGACCAGCAGTGCAGCGATGTGTCCGCGTGGTGGGAAGGCCCCGGATTGAACGGACGACGATGATTTCGGCGTTGCGTAATGGATGGGTCATAAGTGGGGGGGGTGGCGAGGGTGGTCCGAAAAGCTACCCAAACGGTAGCCAAACGAGCCTCCTGGGGCTCCGGAGGGGCCCGAACGGGGCACGAAAGGGAACCGTTTCTGACCCCCCCGCAGTTATGACCCCCCCATGAAAGTCCCCCCCGATGATGCAGAAGGCGGCCCCATGGATGGACGCGCGCACCGGCGTGCACAGCACATCTGACTGCCTTTTCGGCAGGTCGGCACTGCCTGCGCCCCACGCGCCTCCCGCGCGCTCCTCCGGGAATCCTTGCTGTGGTGCGTGCCCTCCGGGCCCTCTCGCGTCCTCTTCGGCGGCCCCTCCCGGCCTGTTCTTGTCTTACTGCCGGTCAACTTTAAGTCGGGCTTGTCCTTCTACAGGAGGAATGATAAAAAAACATTGCAAACAAATAGTCTGGGGACGATTTGTAAAATATTTCTGGGCATTGGGGGTGTTTTTGAAGTATGTTTAGTCGTTCGCCCAAAACCCGCCTGTAGGGGGGCATGCCCGACCTAAGGTTGACTGGTATACCGAGCGCCCCCGGCTACTCTTGAGCATGTCCCTCTACGGGAGAACGATTCAAGAATGGCAACAAAACATATAGTCTGGTGGCGATAACTCGTGATCGAATACTTTGTTTTGATTATTGCGTGACCATGCTTAATTTGTTCTTCAAAAGTCCGCCTGTAGGAGGACATGCCCGACCGAAGGCTACTCGAGCGCGCGTGCGGATTTCAAGGGATGAAAAACCACCCGCACCGGGCAATCGGCGTTGACTCGACGGCCCCGGGCGTCTACTAAAAGCCCTGCCCTGTTCGATTTCTTCCGTGGGTGCGTTTACTAAACGGTCTCGCTTGTCGGGGTGGTCATTATGCTTGACATCGCTCGGACGTGTGCATTTTTCCTTCGGCGAGGACCATCGAGGAGCATCCTCGATCATTTGGCGAAAAAAACTCGCACGAAACCGAAAAGAGCACACGGAATGGACGTCCGAGCGATGGCCAGTATGGGGGGGGGCCCTCGAGGATTACCCCTGCCGCGCTGCGACAGCGCAGGCGGCTCCCCCAGCAGGAGGACCTCGAGTTCCGCGTGCTCGACGGCAGCTCGCTGTTCCGCCCAGTGCTCTGCGGCGTGGCGCGGCGGCCCCTGCGGGAGCTGGTGGACGCCAGGGAGGCGCAGCAGCTGGCGCTCCTGAGCGACGGCGAGGAGTTCAGGGGCCATGGTTTGCATACCTTGTACGTGGTTCGGGGGTGGACAGAACCCCTAACAGTGACACGTCGATAAGTGAATTGTCCGTTTTCGGTTCTCGAGAGAGCGCCGTGGCCGTTATTTTCCAGGCTTGCGCCCGCCAGGTTTGGGCCTCAGGTCGTTTTCAGTAAACCACGTTTTACTAAAGGGGGGTCTGTCCATCCCCGAACGTCGTGTTCTGCTAGCACTAGTCGGGTATAGCCAGGACCCCAGGTAAGGGGACCCGGTTAGTATATAGTAGGGCCCTGGAGCCCCTACATTGGCCAGAATCACCAAACCAGGTCTGCCGTAGCTGGTGCTTCTTCGGGTGACGACAGTTCCGGTTAGTGGAACGGAGCGGGGGGGGGGGGGCGTCCCCCATTACACATCATTGAACCAGGTCCCATTGAACCAAGTTCTGCCCACGCCCGAAATGCCTGGCATCGCTCGGACGTGTGGATTTTTTCTCGGCGAGAACCATCATGTGGCAATGTGGCCTTCGGAAGGGTCTTGGGTCCTCTCGCGTGTCCTGTCCAATGCTGCCTGACTGTACCTACGTGGCACGGCATGCCTGGTGCCTCGGCACCAGATTCCTTTTTGTCTGGTTTCGCCCACGCGCTCCGGCGCATAGCCTCGCGTTGCGGGGCCACGGCGAGGAGGAGGGCCAGCGTTCGAGGCTCGAGGCTACACGGAAGTCGGGCGCGTCCCTCGACGGGGGGAAGATGCAGAAGTAGTCAAACAATAGTATGGGGGCGATTTTGTTTCATCTTGTCGATTCTTTCTGAGCATTTTTGATATTTAATATCTATCTATATATATAAATATATATAATGCCCAAAATCCGCCTGTAGGGCGAGCATGCCTGAGCTGACGCTAAACGGCCCAGGGCCAGACCTGGCGGTCGCAGGCCCACGAAGGTGAGGAGGGGAGACGCAGGCAGACGAGGACGAACGGTGGCCGTTTTTTTGGTTACTGCGAAGGCCTTACATCCCTGGCGGATCTTGATCGGACGTCCGATCGCCAGGGCGGCGCATTCGTTTGCGACAGGGTGCGCCTCCCAGGGCCCGGGGACCTCCCGACCCCTCGGGAGTGGTGAAGCGTGCGGCTCGAGCTCGCCGGACCTCGGGGGCTTGTCGACGCCTTCTGTCGACCAAAATCAAACGACACCATTTTGCGCTACAGTGGGGGCGCGCATCAAGAAACCATATGCTTTTCCTCAGGGTATCCTGGGTTCCTTCGCTCCTCGCGCTGCGCGGTGACTTCCCGCAGCCGTTGAGGGAGCTGCTGCGTTCGGGGTCCTCCAGGTTTCCCCTCGGGTGCACCTCGCGCACGGGTTCTCAGGGTTAGGTTTCTTGCGAGGGTGTCTTGCGGCCGCGCCCTCACTGTACGGCCGGTGCCGCCGACCCTGAAGACGACGAAGACGAAAACGAGGCGGGGGGGGGTAGGAGGCGGAGGGGGAGGAGGAGGGGGGGGGGGAGAAGAGGGAGGGTGGAGGAGGCGGATGAGGGAGGAGGAGGAAGAGGAGGGGAGAGCAGGCAGACGAGGACGGACGATAGCCGTTTTTGTATGCCATTGTCTTGCCAATCGGCGCGGGCCCTCGCTCGAAGAAGAAAAAAAAACATCAACATAAACGTTCGGCGCTCCACGCGGATTTTTTGGATCCGCGCCTGGGCCCCCCTGGCGGCGCCTCGGGCGCGGCACCTGGCGCGCTCCGCGCGCCAGGCAGGGGGGTCCAGCGCAGATCCAAGAAATCCGCGCGGAGCGCCAAAAGTTTATGTTTATGTGGTTTCTTCTTCTTCTTCTACTCCCCCCCCCCATGGAGTAGATCTTGGCCGTTGCTGGCGCTTGTTTCAGGCAAGGGGAGTCCCTCCCCCATGGGACGCACTGTTGCAAACAGCCGCAGCGATCAGGCAATCGCAAACATGGATTAAGGGGGCGTGGATTAGCGACGGGTCCCGTTTCCACTGGAAATCGCGGACTTCCGCCGCCGAACGAGGCAGCACCGGCCGTGTTTGGGGGAGGGCACTTCCCCCGATCCATGGAGTGGGCGACCGCGCGCCAAACCGATGGATCGCTAATCCAGGTTTGCGCGCCCGCGAAGCAGGCAGAGGTCCAGAGCCAGTCCCCACCCTCCACCCTCCTCCTCCTCCTCCTCCTACTCCTCCTCCCCCCCCCTCCCCCGCCCTTCCGCCCAATGTTGGCATGCCGAGTGAGAAAACGCTCACACGCGCAGGCGGGAGGCCAGAGCCCGCGGGGCGGGCGGGCGGGCAGGCGGGGGCGCCGGAGGCTCGAGGCTCCCGGGTGTCTTCGCTACCTCCTGGCGGCTTTCCGGCCTTGGGATGCCTTCCAGCGGCTGCGCTTCGCCGAGAGCGTTCTGAGGCTGCTCGGATCGTCCCGAGCGGCCGAGCCGAGTTCTGACCGGGGAACCACGGGGGCATCGACCGCCAATCGCTGACTGATCGCCGATGGTGGCCCGATGGCCCACCCCGGTGTCTGGATGTGCGTGTGCGCGTGCGTTTGCGTGTGCGCGGGCGTGGGCGTGGGCGTGGGTGCCCGCGTGGGCGTGGGCGTGTGGGTGTCTGGATGTGCGCGTGCGTTTGCGCGTGCGTGTGCGTGTCTGTGTTTGTGCCTGTGTCTGACTCCGTTCAGCCCCGCCAGGAGCAGGCAACCTGCGCTGCCCCCTTCACATCACCGGTCACCCCCATCTACCCCGACCCCCTCTGGGAGGCCCCATGTAGTCCCACCCCCTTACCGTTGCCTTCCCAGGAGACGGGAACCATCACCGTGCACGTATCGGTTGCGAAGGTCGGCGAGGGCCAGCGGAGGCCGCGGAGCGAGGCTGACCTCACCTACGCGGACCCGGCGCTCTTCGAGACGCCCGTCGCCCGGTTGCCCGTCTCCGGCGGCGCCTGGGGCGCCACCAAGAGAGGGCGAAGAACGTATTTCGAAGAAGAAAACCCCATAATCATAAATTTGTGGCGCTCCGCGCGGATTTCTTGGATCCGCGCTGGGGCCCCCCTGGCGGAACCTCGCGCGCTCCGCGCGCCAGGGAGGGGGTCCCAGCGCAGATCCGAGAAATCCGCGCGGAGCGCTGAAAGTTCGTGTTTGTGCCGTCTTGTTTTCTTCTACATCACCACGAGAGGGCGAAGAACACATCCGCACGCGCGGCCTCGGGGGCCGGCCCCTGGGCCGCGACCCCGCGGGCGCGGGGCGGCTGTCGGGTGGAGGTTGTGCGCGGAGCGTCTCCGTGCGACGGCGCCCTGGGAGCCAGACCGCGACGGCACGGGGTGCGCCGCCAAAAGAGGGGCGGAGTCTGCGGAAGAGCGCGGAGGGCACGCGTGCGCCGCACCGCGCTGGTGCTTCTCGAGGCGTCTTCGATCCTCCTCCCCCTCCTCCTCCCCCTCCGCCTCCCCCTCCTCCTCCCTCCTCCTCCTCCTCCCTCCTCCTCCTCCTCCTCCTCCCCTCCTTCCTCCTCCTCCCCCTCCTCCTCCTCCTCCTCCTCCTCCTCCTCCTCCTCTTTCCTCCTCCTCCTTTCTCCTCCTGCCCCTCCTCCTCCTCCTCCTCCTCCTCCCCCTCCCCCTCCTCCTCCTGCGGTGCGCAGCTGTTCGGCCCCCAGGGCCGGGAAGCTATGCGCCGTACCGCGCTTGGGCGGGGCCTGCAGGGAACCCAGACATGGTACGGTGCACTCTCGTACGAAGAGCGCTGCAGCTGATTTGAAGATCGAAAGCACTTCGAAGAACCATCCACACGCACAAAAAGTGCCCCCGAGGCGCGCTATCGATGAATTCGAGGCGGCGGGCTGCCCTGGCACATGATTATCGATGGCGCGCTCTCTCGAGCCTCAGACGCCAGCTTATCGCCGACCTGGGTTTGGGTGTTCCACCCTGCCGGGGAGCGTTCGCCGTGTCGTGAGCAATCGGGGCCATGCAGACGATCTGTCGGCAACGTATCGGCCATGATCCAAGCCGATGTTTCCCCTCCTCCTGACCAGAGGCACGTAAGGCACGTAAGACTCGAGACGCGTTTTGACGCGCCAGTCCTGGATTTCGACGGTCCAAATTTCGTAGGAGGTTTACACCAGAAGCTCGCGCCAGATTGCAGATTGGGTCTTGTCATTTTCCTTACGGCCCCGTCAGGCCAACCCGATTCCCGCGAACCCGAGGCTTACGTCGATCTGAGCCAGCCCCGCCCCCCCTTCTGAGCCAGAACCCCCCCCGTTCTGTCGCCGATCCTCAGGACGCATCCTGGCCCAAAGTGTGTCACCCCGCTCAGCTCCGCCGATAACACGCAGCCTGCGTCGACCCTCATCTCGGCGTCGTGCGAGGGGGGTAAGTGAGAAGGAGAAGGCCTTCTCACAGGGCGGCGAAACTTCTCAGAAGCCCTCGCGCCTTCTGAGAAGTTTCTTGTGCCTTCGGGGAAGGCTTAGAACACTTCTCAGAAGGCTGGGGGACCTCCGAGCCTTCTGAGAAGGCCCGCCCAGTCTCACTTCCCCGCCACGCTCGGTGCCAATCATCACTCCGCCCACATCGCATTGAAGGGCTTCTGTGGACCAGCACACGCTGGCGCTCGCCCTCGCTCTGAGCACCCTCGATTCTGGCTCCGCTCAGGCACGGCCCCCTTCTTCCAGCTGCGGCTCCGCGCCACGGAGCGCTCCCCGACGTACTACATCGGGAAGGACCTGGCCCACACGCAGGACGAGGTGCAGTTCTACGAGGACGCGCTCGCCCTCACGTGCGGGCCCGCGGACGAGCAGGAGGGCCTCGGGGGCCTCCTCGGCTTCATGTTCGAGTACCTCGGCATCCTGCAGGCCCGGGAGGAGGGCTCCGCCGAGGACGCCGAGCCGAGGAAGATGCTGGTGCTCCGCAACCTCTTCGACGGGTGCACCGCGCTCCGCATGCTGGACATTAAGATCGGACAGAAGACCGCTGCCGCGGGCCACCACGGGAAATCGCGCTTCAAGGCGTGGCTGCGTGGCATCGTCGACCCGCTGACCAACTCTGGCTCTCAGGGGTTCCGCCTCGCCGGCTTCAACGGGCAGCCGTTGTCCTACACCTCCCGGGATCCCATCATCGCGGCGGAGGCCCTGGGCGCAGGCAGCGAGGACGTCCGGAAGAAGGCCGGGCGCATGATGTTGTCGCAGGTGAGGGGGGATGAGATGCTCCTGTACTTCCTGGACACGCGCCAGCTCGCGCGCACCGTCACCGGCGCCCCGGGCGAGCTGGCACCCTCGGAGCTGATGTAGGGGAACGAACCCTGACATAAACATAAAAACTCAGAGGTCCACGCGAATTTCTTGGATCGGCACTGGACGCCCCTCCCTGGCGCGCGGAGTGCGCCAGGGGCGGCGCCAGAGGCGCCGCCAGGGGCGTCCAGCGCGGATCCGAGAAATCCGTGCGGAGCTCCGAGTTTTTATGTTTATGTCATTGTTCGTTGTTTGTTCCCCTATGATGGAGCTGGTGCTGCACGAGGTCGATGATGATGATGATGATGATGATGATGATGATGATGATGATGATGATGATGATGATGATGCTGATGCTGATGATGATGATGATGATGATGATGATGGTGATGGTGATGGTGATGGTGATGGTGATGGTGATGGTGATGGTGGATGGTGATGGTGATGGTGATGGTGATGGTGATGGTGATGGTGATGGTGATGGTGATGGTGATGGTGATGGTGATGGTGATGGTGATGGTGATGGTGCGGAGCAGGAGGAGAAGGAGGACGACGAGGACGAGGATAATGATGAAGACGATGATGATGATGATGATGATGATGATGATGATGATGATGATGATGATGGTGATGGTGATGGTGATGACGATGATGATGATGATGATGATGATGATGATGATGATGATGATGATGATGACGATGGTGATGCTGATGCTGATGCTGATGCTGATGCTGATGAGGATGCGGAGGACGATGATGATGATGGTGATGATGATGATGGTGATGATGATGTTGATGATGATAATGATGACGATGGTGATGGTGATGATGATGATGCTGATGCTGATGATGGTGCTGATGATGATGCTGATGATGATGACGACGACGAAGATGATGATGATGAACGATGAAGATGAAGATGATGATGATGCTGATGATGACAATGTTGATGATGATTATGATGATGATGATGACGATGGTGATGATGCTGATGCTGATGGTGACGGTGATGGTGATGGTGAGGATGGTGATGATGATGGTGACGATGGTGATGATGTTGACGATGATGCTGATGATGATGGTGATGACAATGATGCGATGATGATGGTGATGATGATGAGGAGGAGGAGGAGGACGACGAGGAGGAGGAGAACACGAGGAGGAGGAGGGCACCAGGAGGGAGGAGGAGGAGGAGGAGGAGGAGGAGGAGGAGAACACGAGGAGGAGGAGGCCACGAGGGGGAGGAGGAGGAGAGAGGAGGAGGAGGAGGAGGAGAACACGAGGAGGAGGAGGGCACGAGGGAGGAGGAGGAGGAGAGGAGGAGGAGGGAGGAGGAGGAGAACACGAGAGGAAGGGCACGAGGAGGGGGAGGAGGAGGGAGGAGGAGGAGGAGGAGGAGGAGAGGAGGAGGAGAGGAGGAGGAGGAGGAGGAGAGGAGGGGGAGGAGGAGGAGGAGGAGGAGGAGGAGGAGGAGAGGAGGAGGAGGAGAAGAGGAGGAGGAGGAGGAGGGCACGAGGGGAGGATGAGGAGGAGGAGGATGTTTCTACACGAGGAGGAGGAGGAGAACACGAGGAGGAGGATGCGGAGGAGAGGAGGAGGAGAACACGAGGAGGAGGAGGGCACGAGGGAGGAGGCGGAGGAGGAGGAGGAGGAGGAGGAGGAGGAGAACACGAGGAGGAGGAGGGCACGAGGGAGGAGGAGGAGGAGGAGGAGGAGGACGAGGAGGAGGAGCTGACGTTGCACGAGGTCGTGGTGCAGCTCGTGGCCCTGGCCGTGGCGTGCCGCCACGCCGCCGCGCCCCAGAAGTGGGTCGGCAGCTCCGTGGGCCTCGCCTTCGACGGCGGCCGGCTGCCGCGCCTGGCGCCGGGCGCCACCAGAGGCCAGCTGGAGGACGAGGCGCTCGGGGGCCCCCAAACTTTTCAAGCAGTGGCGAAGCGTCCGGGCTCGCCTATAGCCCCACCGAACATTGTTCTAAGAACCGTTTGTGGTTCCCACGAAATGTTCTTAGAACATGTCTGGTTGGGACCGTCTTGTTTTAACAAATCGGGTTCATGTTCTAAGAACATTGTTTTTGTTATAAGAACATTTTTGGGTTCTAAGAACATTTCGTGGTATGACTATAGGAATGCCGGGACGGTCGGTCCCTGCTCAACAAACGGCCACCGCCAACATTGATCATTGGGGGGGGAAACACTTAGTGGACACCCCCCCGCTCCCCGAACCTCAAAGTTGGTACGGTGGCACGCCCGGGGGAGACTGCGGCCGAAGTGCAGTTCATTCAAGCCACCGCCAGCATTGATCATTTGGGAGGGGATTCGCAGATAAATGTGGCATGAGTGTTCGCCGATTTCTTCCGAGGCCTGTGGCAGCCAATATATGACCCGGTCTAAGGACGAATAGACTTTGTGCCCCTCCCAAGGCAAGACTTCGCGCTACCCCCTGGAAGATTGCAACGTTTATCAGATTAAGTCGGGCGTGTCCCTCCTACAGGAGGATTATTCAAAATGGTCAAAAAATGATGTGGGGGCGATTTTCCTGCCATTCTCCAGCACTTTTAGGAGGTATTGTTTGTCTATTCTTAGTTGTTCGCCCATAATCACGGTTGCGGGACTCGGATTGTCCTCCGAGGACGTCTCGGGCATCTGGAGCCTCCCGGGTCCCAAGGCAGTATGGTGACGGACCCTGCGGTGAGGTCTCTGCGGAGTTCGAGGTCACCGCTGCCTGGGCCCCGGGTGGCACCGCCCCGTCTTGCGGTGTGCTGCCAATGACGCTCGCGGAGGCAGCGGCCCGCCACGCGCGCAGTCCTGCACTCCCTTGGGCGGGTCGTGTGTGGCGGTCCCCCCCCTTCCACCCCTGAGTAGGTGCACGGGCCTGAGCTGGGCACGGCGCCGCCGATGCGCTTGACCGCTCGATTTGCGCGCGCGTCGAGGAAAAACAAAACAAATCTGCACATTTAGATTTAATAATAATAATAATTATAATAATAATAATAATAATAATAATAATAATAATAATAATAATAATAATAAAAATAATAATAACAATGATATTAATACTAATAATGATAATAATAATAATAATCAGCATCACAATCCGAATCAGAATAATAAACATAATCCGAGTCCGAATCACAATCAGAATAGTAATAATAATAATAATACAGAAATAAGTAAACATAATATTAATAACAACAACAATAATAATTATAATAACGATACTAATAAATAGTGGTAATAATAATAATAATAATCATCATCATTTATATATATATGTATATATATATACAAATATATACATATACATATGTATACACCACACGGTTTGGGGACCCCCGGGGCCAGGGAGTGGCCCAGGGTCGGGCGTTTCGGGGGCGGCGCCCCGAGGCTCGAGGCGCCGTGGACGCAGCGCGGGGTCGCCCCGGGGCTCGGCGGGGGCTCCTGGCCTCTGGATTTGTTCGCGCCGGGGCCCTGGGGCCGCAACTCTCTCCGCGGGGCTCCCAGGGCCCGACACGGGGCGAGAGCTAACTCGGGCATGTCCCTCTGCAGGAGGAATATTCGAGAGTAGTCAGAAAATGGTATGGGGACGATCTGTCTGGTATGTTTTTACATGTCTCGAGTATGATTTTACTATTGTCGGTTTTTTTCTTAAGTCAGCCTGTAGGGGGACATTCCCGACCTAAGGCAAGAGCGCGCGTGGTGGTCTTCCCCCAAGTAGCGTTTGCACCAGGGGCTCTGATTTGCTTTTCATCGCGGCGGCGGGCCTTGGGGGAAAGTGAAAAAGAGAAGGCCTTTTTCAGAAGGCCCCGAAGTTCCCCGGCCTCCTGAGAAGTTGTCTGCGCCTTCCCCGAAAACAGAAAACCGAATTTCTCGGAAGGCGAGGGGGGTTCTGTGAAATCCCACCGCCTTTGGGAACGCCTTCCCCTTCTCACTTCCCCCCGCTCGCCGCCGACTCCTCTTCCGCCAACTCCTCTTCTTCCTCCTCCTCCTCCTCCTCCTCCTCCTCCTCCTCCTCCTCCTCCTGCTCCTGCTCTTTTTCCTCCTGTCCTCCTCCTCCTTTTCCTCGTTCTCCTCCTCCTCCTCCTCCTCCTCCTCCTCCTCCTCCTCCTCCTCCTCCTCCTCCTCCTCCTCCTCCTCTTCGTCCTCCTCCTCCCCCTCCTCCTCTGCAATGGGCATGCGTTGGCGGGTTTTTGCGCGGTGCCTCGCCCCGGCGGCGCCTCGCGCGCCGGCTGGCGCTTAGCAGCCGGTCGCCCGGTGGCCGCCCGTCGCTGCCCCGTTGCCGCCTCGTGCGCGGGCTGGCACGTGCAGGCGTTGGCCCCGCGGCCGCCCGCCCGTCGCCACCGCCCAGACAATGCCGCACAAATAGATCAGACCATATAAATTCGATTGGGGCACATACACATACACACTTGCTCCCCGAACCTCAAAGTTGGCTCGTTGGCACGCCCGGGGAAGACTGCGGCCGAAGTGCAACTCATTCAACCCACCGCCAGCATCGATCATGGGGGGGGGATTCGCAGATGAATGTGGCATGAGTGTTCGCCAATTTCTTCCGAGGCCTGTTGCATCCAATATATGATCCCGTCTAAGGACGACTAGACTTTGTCCCCTTTCCAAAGACAAGATTTCAAGACTTCGCGCTATCCCCTGGAAGATTGCAATGTTTATAAGATCCAGTTGGGCGTGATATTCTACAGGAGGAATGTTCAAGAAAAATAGCATGGAGACGAGTTGTTTCAGTATTTCTGCGATGTTTGAATAATGATTCGACTATTTTTGTTTCGTCCAAAATCCGCCTGTAGGGGGAAGCGCCCAACCGAAGTATAAGAGTATGCCTCCGTTCACTGTCCAGAGGAAATCATACCATGCCAGCCAGGTTCGAATCGACCCCGCAGGTCATCCTTGTCAAACAATATCATGCTAGCGTGCGTCGGTCTAGAAAAAAGGCTGTGCCAAACAATAATGGAATAATGCATAATGGGGCACATACGCGCGCAGCCGCGCGCGCATATCCAAATCCTCAAAATTATCCCGGCAAAGCAACCTAACAGCGATGTGTAGAAGCATTTCTGAAAGCATTCCCCTTAAGATTCAGATGAAAATCCAGTTGTAGAATTCTGCTGTTCTCGCAGTCGTAGTCGCATTCGCGATGACAGTCGCAGCGGCAACGGCAGTCGCAGTCACAGCCTCAGCCTCAGCCTGCCTCAGCCTCAGCCTCAGCCTGCCTCAGCCTCAGCCTGCCTCAGCCTCAGCCTCAGCCTGCTTCAGCCTCAGCCTCAGTCTGCCTTCAGCCTCGGCCTCAGCCTCAGCCTGCCTCAGCCTCAGCCTGCATCAGCCTCAGCCTCAGCCTCAGCCTGCATCAGCATCAGCCTGCCTCAGCCTCAGCCTCAGCCTGCCTCAGCCTCAGCCTCAGCCTGCTTCAGCCTCAGCCTCAGTCGCCTTCAGCCTCGGCATCAGCCTCAGCCTGCCTCAGCCTCAGCCTGCCTCAGCCTCAGCATCAGCCTGCCTCAGCATTCAAAATGTGGCCCGGGAATGGAGTTCTGGGAACTCGAAGAACACGAAGTGGCCTACAGTTGGCTCCGGGCATTCAAAATCATGCCCAGGAATGGAGTTCTGGAACTTGAAGAGCACGAAGTGGCCTACAGTTGGCTCCGGGCATTCAAAATGTGGCCCGGGAATGGAGTTCTGGGAACTCGAAGAGCACGAAGTGGCCTACAGTTGGCTCCGGGCATTCAAAATGTGGCCCGGGAATGGAGTTCTGGGAAGTAGAAGAGCACGAAGTGGCCTACAGTTGGCTCCGGGCATTCAAAATGTGGCCCTGGAATGGAGTTCTGGGAAGTCGAAGAGCACGAAGTGGCCTACAGTTGGCTCCGGGCATTCAGAATGTGGCCCGGGAATGGAGTTCTGGGAGGTCGAAGAGCACGAAGTGTGTGACTGTATGCGAAAAACGATCCCGGCCGGCAAACCCCAACACCTCCCCAACGGCTGCCCAGACCCCCCTGTGGAGTCATCTGCTGCTCTCTTTTGAGTCTACTAGAAACCTATCAGTCTTCGCTGTTAGGTAAAAACAGTGGGTTGTGTGCAACGCATTCAGGACGTGCCCAGAGGGTGAAGAACCAAAGAACGGTTGATGCTCAACCAAACATGCCGAAATTCTGCGCGCGCTATCGTGTGGAAGTGTCTGACATCCGTAAGTGTCGTCCCATGTTGACACATCAGACCCTGCGGGCCAGTTGCGCGTGCATTGGGAAAACGTGCAATCGCCATTGCGTGTCCACCGAGCTTGTTAGATAACACCGTGCGGGCTACACACGCGCGTCCGCCGCGCGCACGCCGAATTTGTTTCAACACTTTTGGCCTTCTAACCGCGTCAGCACGGGGGTGTTCAAGGACACACGAACACACAATTGCTTTCCGTAAACAGCATGTTTGCATGGTTGATTATCTCTATGTGTATATATGTATAGATGTATACACGCATAGATGCGCGTATAAATGTGTAGATGTATATATATATATATATGTATGTATATATATATATATATGTGTGTGTGTGTGTGCGGGCGTGTCATGTCTCATCATTGTCGTCAGTTCACGTCGTATCATCACCGTCAGTGGCCACCGTCAGCATCATCATCACCATCGTCGGGATCAGCACCGCCGCAGTCATCGCCGTCATCGTTGATGTCATCGCCCTCGTCAAATTCTTGCGGTGGGCATGTCGTCATCATCACCAGCACCACCGTCATCATCATCGCCAGCGTCATCGCTGCTTCGTGTTATCATCGCCATCGGCTTCATTACCGTCGTCGTCGCCGTCGACAGCGTCCTCAGCGTCGTCGTCAACATCATCGTAGCCGCCACCGTCGTTGTCGCAGACCAGTTGGGTTTTGCCAGCAAGTTGCGGGTGGGTGGTTGAGATGGTTGCACGAACAGTGGAGGTGACGATTTCAATACGGCCAGCACGTATTCTAAACGTTTCGTGCAGCCCCACCAGCCCATCCAGAAACGATGTCCAGGCGAGTTGCGTTGATCAGGGATGTGGAGGAACATGCAGTGGAATAAAGGGCTGCGTCGCAACCCAAACGGGGGGGGGTGGATGAGGAATCGGAGGAGGAGGAGGAGGAGGAGGAGGGGGGGGAAAGGAGGAGGAAGAATAGGCGGATGAGGAAGAGGAGGTGGAGGAGGAAGAGGAGGAGGAGGAGGAGGGCGAGCAAAGAGGCCACAGGCTTCTGGGGTGCCCCTCGGATTCTCTTAGGATGGCCTCTTGGGGATCTGGCGGGCCTCTTGGCGGTCCCTGGGGCGTTGCCTCTGGGGAGCTTCGTGGGGCCTCTTAGGGGGTCTCTTGGGGACATCTTGGGGACCTATTGGCGGCTTCTTGGGACCTCCTGCGCACCTCGTGGGGCACTATGGGCAGCCGTGCGGGCCCTCTTGTGACCATCTTGGGGGACTTCGATTGAACGGGGGCTACTTGACAACGGCCCTCCCCAGGAGGCAAAACTCGGCCCAGACCTTGATGGACTTCAATGGCGTTTGCCGTCTCGCTGGGGCCATCTTGGGCGCTCTGACACCTCGCCGCCCCCACCCGTCCAGGCCCAAGCGAGGGGGCACCCGAGTCTCAGCAGCTTCAGCGGTCGTCTTCGAATGGACAGTTATTCGGAACCAATGCAGGTCCCAAGTGCGCGACGACGGGGCGAGGTGCGCCACGCGTGCCAGGCGCACCACTCGTGCCAGGCGCGCCACACGCACCAGGCGCGCCACGCGCACCAGGCGCGCCAGGCGCCCCTGAGGCCCAAGCATGCAAGGCACGCTTGGTGCGCCAGATGTACCACGTGCTCCGCGTGCGCCAAGTGTGCCGCATGCTCCAGCCGCCTCAGGTGCGCCACGTTCGGGGCACGCGCAGAGTGTGCCAGGTGCGCCCGCGCACATCGAGAAACATGTCGGCGTCCGCCATTCTTGCCGAAAATCAAATGGCAATCGCGGCGAAGTGGTCATCGTGATGCGGCGAGCGTGCACACAGCAGGCAACATGCCAGCACCCCCCGCCGTTCCCATCAAAAGCCCATGCGACGTGAGCACGGGGTGCCCGCGCATGGCCCAGGTGTTGCCGCGGAGTGCAGGTTGTGTTGTTCCCCGCCCGACAGGCTGGGGTTGTTACAGTCGGGGCTCTAAACAAGGAACCCTTTTCGTTGGGGAGGGGCTCCGTGTTCCTTAATTGTTTCGCAGCTTGCCTTAGGTTGTCCTTAGGTGTTCGATGGGGAATCAAAGTTGAAGTGATTGAAGAAAAGGGGCCTCGTTCCTTATTTAGGGTTCCTTAGGTCAACGCCCCGACTGTAGCTTTGAAGAAAGGGGTCTCCCGACCCGCCCAGTCTGCACACCGCGGCCACCAGATCCCCAGGTCCACCCAGTGCCCCCCGAGTTCTCCGCCTCGCGGCGACCCGCCCAGTCTGCATGCCGCGACCGCCAGGTCCCCAGGTCCGCCGAGTGTCCCCCGAGTGTCCCGCCTCGCGCCGGCCCGCCCATTCTGCACAACGCGGCCGCCAGGTCCCCAGGTCCGCCGAGTGTCCCCCGAGCTTCCCGACAGCACAGAACAAAACGACAGAGCGCGACATCAGATATAAAGACGTGGCAGAACCTAGCATAGCATAACACCACAAGTCATGACAATACGGATCATGCACAGCAGCACATAACACTTAATAGCATGACATATCATAGCAATACGTAACATATGATCTGATGGCAGAACTAATAATCGCACAGCCTCACAGCACATAGCACTGCATGGCATGACAACACGCGTATAGCATAAACAACGAATCACGTGTTGGGCACGTCTAAAACCTAACACAACACAATTGACAGAACATGTCATAGCATAGCACAGCAACACAACGCATGGTATGGCAGAGCGTCGATTAGCGTCTGGGAGTGGATGAGATAGGGCCGAGTTCGCGTCGGTTAGCGTCGAGTAGCGTCGAGTAGCGTCGATGTAGCGTCGACGAGCGTCGATTCGCAAGAGCCGACAAGATGGTATGCGAGGCTCCCATGAGTTGCCATGAAAAAAGGATGGCCGCCCGAGGCGGCGTGCCAGACCTCACTCTACCCACCCTCTGGTTCGCCCCCCTCTCTCTCCCGTGCAGTCATGGAGCCTTCCCTCCTCTGAGGCCCTTCGTCGGGACAATCGAAATGGACACGGAAAGAATGGGTACAATGCCCAACAGCAGTTCCTGTTCATTTTGATCAGGATTCGCTGTCCGCGCCGCCGCGGTCGTTGTTCTTTGAAGGCAAAAAGCCGCCTGCCCCACAGCGGCCGCTGTCGGTTTGGGACAACATTTGTTGTTCGGCATTGTACCCATTTTTCCCGTACCCATCTCGGGCGTCCAAATTTCGGGCTCCAGGCTTCCACCTTCCACCCCCTGGCCTTTTGGGCTTTGGCGTGGCGTTCTGTGTCCCCTCCTCTTGAGGCCCTTTGGGCTCCGGGCCGTCGCCTTCCACCCCCCCCCCGTGGTCTCGGGCGTGTTCTGCGTGCGACGGGCTGGCCCCGCTGGCCGCCTGCCCTGGTGCCTTGTTGGCGCCCCTGGGTGCCCGTAGGGCGCCCTGTCGCAACTCGACCCCTCGTCGTCCCCACTTCCTCCTCGCCTCCCTCCACCCTCCTGGGCACCGGGCTCCCCCGCAGCCCCCTCCTCCCAGGTGCGGCAGGGCGTGCGGGTCCACGTGTTCGACTGGGGCCGCTCAGACCTGAACACGTTGGCACGACACCGGGAGCTGCCCCGGGAGGAGCAGCTGGAGATCTCCGAATACTGGGGGTACTACGTCGGGGGCGTCGACCGCCTGGCGTGGCAGGCCGCCCGGCGGGCTGCAACGGGGGCGGACAGCCCAAGGGGGGGGCGCACTGCACCTCCTCCTCCTCCTCCTCCTCCTCCTCCTCCTCCTCCTCCTCCTCCTCCTCCTCCTCCTCCTCCTCCTCCCTCCCTCCTCGCCTCCTCCTCCTCTTCCTCCTCGTCCTCCTCCTCCTCGTCCTCCTCACTCCTCCTCCACCCTCCTCTTCTCCTTCCCTCCTCTCTCCCTCCTCCTCCTCCTCCCTCCTCCCTCCTCCCTCCTCCCTCCTCCCTGTGTTCCGATCGCCCCCCTTCTTCGGCGAGGCTCCGCGCGGCGAGCGCGTGCCATGAACCCGCCGCCTTTTGGGCTCTCCGTCCCTTTCAGGGGCAACGACAGGGGGGGGAGAGGCATAGGGTTAAGTCGGGCCTGTCCCACTACAAGGGGATTTTCGACGAAAAATACAAAATATCCCCAAAATAGTAGAAAAATAGTCTGGGGACTATGTTTTGAATACTTCTTGGCCTTTCTGGGGTATTGTTGGGGTATTTTGAATTTTTCGTCGAAAATCCCCCTGTAGGGGGGACACGCCCGACATAAGCATAGGGGGGGATGCATCGACACCCAATCGCCCACCGATCGCCGATAGGGGTCTGATAGTACCAACCCGCCCAGGAGGGTGCGGATTCACTATCGGGGGCCTATCGCCGATCTATCGGCGATGTATCGTCGATGCCAGGTGGATGCATCCCCCCCTATGCCAGTCCCCCCCTATCGTTGCCCCTCTTCTTGGCCTCCGCCGAGGCAGCCCGGATGTACTTCCACCGTTTCGGCATCCAGTTGCTTTTTCGGCAAGCCCCGCCCTCCACGCCAGCGCAGCGTCGAAGCCAGGGGAGGAAGAGGCACCGACGCCGCTCGTAGAAGAAAAACGCTACAAACATTACCCCAGTGCGACCCTACCTAGAAGTTGGAGCCCCTAGGAAAGCAACATTAGTTGCTATGCTATGCTATGCTATGCCATGATATGTTGCGCTATGCTATGCTATGCTATGCTGCGCTATGCTATGGCAAGCTATGCTAAGCTATGATATGCTATGATAAGTTACGCTATGTTATGCTATGATATGCTATGAATGGCTGTGTTATGATATGTTATGCTAATGCAGCGCTGCGCTATGCTATGCTAGGCTAAGCTACGCTAAGCTAAGCTAACCCTCTAGGCAGAGCCTAGGTAGGGAATTACACCCACTATGCTGCGCTGTGCTATGTTGTGCTGTGTTGTGCTGCGCTATGCTTATGCTATGCTATGCTATGCTATGCTATGCTGCGCTATGCTGTGCTGTGCTGGGCTATGCTATGATATGCTGCGCTATGCTATGCTACGCTATGCTGTGCTGTGCTATGCTATGCTAAAGTTCAGCGAAGCTAAGATGAAGGTAAGCTACGCTAAGATAAACCTGAGCTAAGATGAAGCTATAAGTCCAGCTAAGATGAAATAAGCTAAGCTAAGATGAGATAAGCAACGCTAAGCTAAGGGGACGTAACTGGGGGAACCGCGGGGCGGATACTGGGGGAACCGCCTGGGGCGGGCCCCACTGCCCGGCCCCTTAAGCCCGAGAGTAAGACTTTTACGGAGAGTCCTAGATATGAGAATAAAATCTGTTGGCGCTCCGCACGGATTTCTTCGATCTGCT